TAAAAAAGAAAAACCGAAAAATCAGAGTGTGTGCTGATTTTTCAACAGGCTTAAATGATTGTGTGAAAGACCATGCGTACCCTCTATCGTCTCCGGAGGATATATTCACTAAATTAAATGGAGGTAGTGTTTTCAAAGTTGGACTTGTCAGGGGGCTTACCTTCAGGTTAAAGTCAGTGAGGAATGTTCGAAGTACCTGACAATAAACACGCATAAAGGGATTTTTAAACTAAATCATCTTCCTTTTGGATTGAAGGTAGCTCCAAGCCTATTCCAGCAAATAATGGACACAATGTTGGCTGGTATGGAATATGCAATCACATATTTAGATATTTTGATTAAAAGTGAAAATGAGGCCCAACACAAAACATATATTAGAGCAGTATTTCAGAGAATTGAAGAATACAGGTTCAAGCTGACTGCTGAAAAATGTGAGTTCTTCTTAAAGAAGATAAAATATTTAGGGCAGATCATTGACAGTAAAGGAAGAAAACCGGATCCAGAAAGGGCTGAGGCTATAAAAAATAATGTGGCTAAACTCCAGGCCTTCTTGGGATTAGTAAATTACTATAGCATTTATATCCCAAAAATGTATATGAGAGCTCCTTTAAATAATTTGGTGAAAAAGGGCGCAAAGTGGATATGGTTGAAAGAATGCGAACAGGCTTTTAAAAAAATAAAAAGCTGTCTATTAGCAGACCTATCGTTAGTGCATTTCGACCTGAAGAGGAAAATCATTGTAGCAGCAGATGCCAGTAATGAGGGACTATGTGCGGTATTGCTTCATAAATTCGAGGACGGATCTACGAAGCCAATAGCACATGCGCAAAAACATTACTGCCCGCAGAACGAAGTTACAGTCAAATCAAAAAAGAGAGTTTAGCAATAATCTATTCTGTAAAAACATTTTACAGGTTTCTATACAGAAGAGAATTTATTCTGCAAACAGACCACAAATTGCTGTTAACAATATTTGGTTCAAAAAAAGGTATACCAACTCACACAGCAAATCGACTACAGCATTGGGGTGTAATTCTATTGAATTATAATTTCAAAATAGAATATATGCCTTCAAAGAAGCTAGGTCACGCCAATGAGTTATCAAGATTGATACCTAAATATACGGAACCACTGGAAGAAACAGTAATAGCAGTGGTAAGAGATGAAAGTGAATTGTTGGGTTTGTTATGCAACACTATTAGAGAACTACTGGTTACTCTGCAAAGGAAAATTCTGAAAGAATGTCACACTGGCCATCCAGAGATTTCAAGAATGAGATCTCTAATGAGAGGCTATACTTATTGACCGAGGATGGACCAAGACATAGAAAATTTGCTGAAACAGTGCAGAAAATGTCACCTGGCAGCAAGGGATCCACTGGTAAAGATTCAACCATGGCCAAAGACAGATGTCCCATGGACTCGATTACAGAGTTAATGATTGTGAGAAAAATACACTCTGTGTTCGACGAAGAAAACTGCAAAAAAAGAAAACCAGATGACTAAAGCGTATAAGACAGGTGACAGTTTTTTTCAAGAACTTTAGTGCTGGAAAAATGTATTGGGAAGAAGAAATGATAAACAAAAGAATTGGACAGATCATATATGACATAAAAGGGGAATGATTTCTGTGCAAAAGACATTGGACTCAATTGAGACCCAGACACACTACAGTGTTCACAGAAAATACCGAAGAGATTCCAATGGAAGTCCTGTATGATGAATTTGAAATTCCTGTTCCAGTAAGTCAACATTCGCCAATGGAGGTATCCCCGACCTCAAGGCCAGAAGTACCAGTGTGCCAAACGCCACCACTGCAAGGAGGATTGAGATGAAAAAGACTTAGGAAAAAAATCAATCAATTAATCCAGACCATAAAAAGAGAATATATTGAAGCTAAATTTCATGGGAAATTTTAGCTCAGGGGGAGGTGATGTAATGAATATGCATACACTTAGTAATATGATACCAGTAATATGATTCGCTTATATCAGTTTTATTTTACTTCAGAATTTGTCATGTACTTGGCCTCATCCTAAATTATGCTTTGGCTAATTCTCAAGATTATCATCTAAGATTTGTTGAGGGCAGTGTGAAAATTTGCATACACTTGTGAATACTTCTAGTTCTGGTATTAATAAATAATTCACTTTGTGCCTCATCTTTCACCAGAAAGATTTTTACTGAATGAGGTGCTATTTGCCCAGGTCTTCACCCATATCTGAAAGTAAGTTCAGTTCTTAAGGCAAGACATAATGGTCTTGCTCATTAAGCTGGTATACCTATTGACCATACTGAATTCAGTTGGCAACATGCAATGTTTTATGTTCTTATATTTGTCTCAATGTAAAGATATATCATCATTATTAAACCCAACAAAGGTGTGAGTGTGGTGATATTAGACTATAAACATTGTGTTATCAAAAAGATTACAATTTTGGGAGATGCCAATAAGTTTATACAATTGGGACTTGAGCTACAGTTCCAAAAGGGTTTACTCAAATTGATAAAGGATAATGTTCTTCCTGTGAACTTCAATGAGGCCATCAAACAGCCCCAGTTGTATGGTTTATCAAAGGCCCACAAAGACAATTTCCCATTAAGGCCTATTTTCTATATGCTAGGTTCAGTGCAGCACAGATTGACCAAAAGATTACAAGGTCATTCACTTTTTCTACCTTTGTGCAAAATTGTCTCTTTGGCATTAACAAAAAAATTGTGTTCTTGTAGTTGAAGAGTTCTAAAAGTAGCAAAATAAAAAAAAAATCAGTAGTTTGTAGCTTACAAATCCATATGACACAAAACGTTTCTTCACATACAGCAAAGAACAAAATCTAACTTGCTTATCACTCAAGGCACTTTGCTTATATCTAAAGCAGTCAATAAGTGGTTGAGGTGGAACAAAATTTACATTATATTCACTGTATAAAGAGAGAAGTCATATGAGTCCTCCTTTCTCCTTTTTTGCTGGCAGTTAGCATGAGTCACTGTCTCTTGTTTTGTCGAAGTAAGTCACCATTTTCTTCACAACACTCTCATCCTCTGATCTCATAATTGTCTCACAAATGTGATAGCCTGGGTGTAAATCTCTTTATCCTGGTTCTTTGTCATAATAGGACAATTTTCACCCTGTGTTGGTGAGTTATTTCCAGAGGAATCATCAAACATCATCCCTGGGATATCTGCATCCTTCAGATTCAAGGAGTCCAATTATTTGCTCACTATCAAGTGCTAAATCATCATTGGAATAGCACATCAATGTGCCTGAGATGAATGGGCAATGATCATTTACATGCTACGGCATTTTATCAATCATCATTGTTTGTGAATTAATAAAAGTTTGTCGAATTATCCATTTGGTGGTAATGTTGCATTGATTTTTTTCACTTTGAATTGGTAGTGGTAAATCTTATAGTGGTCAATGTGCCATATTCTAGTGTAACCTTGTGCCAATACACCATCTTTGTTATCAGATGTTTTCTTTGCAGCAATCCTCTTTATGTTCAGATAGCATCTTTCAACTTTGCCATAGCCTATGAGAACATGCACACACTATAAAAGAAGTTGGTTCCCCCCAGCCATCAAAGAAATCTTTCAACTTGCTATGAAAAACAGTATTTTTGTAGGGCCCCATTCACCATTATAAAAATGTGCTCTCCAACTGTCAGATGCTCTTTACAAATCTTGCTGATGCAGAGGTCGCCATATCATAAATCATATGGGTCACTCACTGTTGTAGCGTAGTGTTTTCTCCCATAATGGGTAACATCCATTTCTAGGCAGGTCCATGTTTCATTCACACTTAAGTTACCTTGTGATCAAAGAAGTTAGGACTAGATCAATCAAATGACATTCAGTATATACCCTAACCACTTCCCCAACAAACGCTTTTGATGCTATAGGATGGATTTGTTTGACAAATTACGTTGTACATCATCCATCTGATACCACTCTGGCATTGTGTGGCCTTTATCTGATCTGGAGAGATTTCATTCACAATTGAAGCACATTTAGGTTGTAGTGGTTTCACCTCCTTTATCTCATCATACCATCATTGCAATACTATCATGCACCTGTCTCTCTAGATTTGATTTGACATGACTTCACATCACAATTACCTATAATTTGTAGATATATGAGTTGATCCAAGAGTGCTAAACTGTCTTCAGATCAACATCTCACTTGTCATATGTATTTTCTTTTTCCAGTGAGCATGTCAGATACTCAACAATGCACACATGCAGTCTGTGAAGAGGTGCAATCACATTGGAACCCACTGTAGTGCTCCGCATTGACTTGCAAGCCCAAAACACAAGCACAAAATACATATTTAAAAACAAACTACATTTAAAAAGTTTCAATGTCCTTATTGCGCATATGTATTTGCATCAATATAAACATCACTTTACTTCGAGGAAGTCCTAAAGGATGAAATACATGACACAAAAATTTTTTTCCACTTTGTTCTGTGTTTAATTACAAGATTGGATGAACCAATACTGCATATGTTTATTTAATATGATACAACCATAGTGAAAGGCATGATAATCACAAATTAATAAAAAATAAAAAAGTACTTCTAGATTATATTAATACATTTGTTCTTTATTTTTTTGTAGAATAAATACATTTTTAGTGACTCCATTTGATTAATTTTAATATTGAAAGGAATTTCTTCTTTTTTTCACAATTACTAAGTCATACCATAATGCCTTCTTTTGTTTATTTTCAGCGGTTAGTAACATTGGATGTCCTGATGTGGCTTTCAATACCCGACATTTCTTAGCCACATTCCGTAACACATGTTATGTCTTCATCAATACAGAAAAATTTTGGAATGAAGCACGTGATTATTGTTGGTGGCTAGGAGGAGAACTTGTTCACATTCATGACATGGAGACAATGGAATTTTTAAAAAGTATTTTAGACTCAAAAGAACTTGGTTGGAATAAAAATGGTGTTTGGATTGGTGCTAGTGATGATGCTAAGGAAGGTCATTGGATGTGGACAACAGGCAAGTGTCATTTTATTTGTCTATTTAATGTAATGTAAATTAAATGTAATTCAAATTATCATTTTGAAGAGTGCTTTAAAACAAAAGTGTGTTGAATGTAACAGACTTACATTTGGGATTTTTACAACAAACTGCAGTCTTTTTAAAGATTTTATAATTATTACTTTTTTACTCTTATTCTTTTCATATTACTTTCAGCTGCTTTTTAAGGCAGCTGTTAATACCTTTGTGATAATTGTAGGTTAGGTAGAAAGCCCAGAGCAGAAACAAAGAATAAGCCCTTAGCATGACTGATATCCATTTCCTTTTTTTCATTTTACTCCCAAACAAGGCAATAAATTTCTCGGATTTCTCCATTGCAAACTTTACACAGATGCTCTAATGTTGCTTCATTATGTCCAGTCCAAATCAGTATATAAATTAAACAACAATGACATTACATTCTAAAATTGACATCCTCTCAGCCCTACATTCACCATAAAGCATAAGCAGTTGTGTGTGTATCTGTCTACTTTACGTCAGGGGTTTATTGGAAAAGATTCAGAAAATCATCAATTCATAAAAGAACAGTATTTAAAAGCAGCTACACTCTGCGGAGACATCTCTGCTGAATCAAATATAATATTTTTGAGAACATAACCAAGAACTCTGTGTACTCCATTCCTTGCAGTTATAACAAAGACTATAAAGTTGAAGCTAGACTGGCTGGAGGAGCATTTAAATGCCATAATGAGAGGAGAAGCAACTCAGGCTGATCAAATGACAAAGGGCAGTCATTAACCACTGTCAAATTTGATATCTGAAAGAATCAGTCCATATGCTAGTCTACGAGGACCACCTTAATAAGCCTAGCATAGAAATAAATACAATACAGAAGGTGCAGCAGCTGTAACAAAAAGAAGTTTCAGTGAGTGCAGTCAAGCATGACAAACAGCATCAACACTCATCTGCAGGCTGGTTAAGGCTACAAGTTCTCCACATACAATACAAGTGTATATGTGCATGAAAGCATTTAGAAATACATATGAGGATGGGGTGAAAAAGGTGACTATGAAAGAGTGATGCTAGAGCTATGAAATCTTGCATGCATTAATTTCAACTTTTTCATTAATAGCTGCATTATTTCATTCTGGGTTAAATGACATCTAACTGTTCAAAAAAGGCTCCAAAAGTAAAAAGTAGTGACTTCTCTTGAAAATGGACAAAATTTGATATTGTGGTGTTATCAAGTACCTGCAGAAAAAGGGTTTAAACCCCAAGGACATTCATGTTGATATGGTTGCTTCATTAGGAGATGACACTCCAGCTTTATCAACAGTGTTAAAGTGAATTTAGGAGGGATAGGGAGAGTCTTGAACATACCCCAAAGTCTGGATGTACTACATTTGCCAGCACTGAGGAAAACATTCATAGTGTTCACCACATGGTGATGGATGACAGGCAATTGACTATAAATCAAATAGTCAATGCTATTAGCATATCCCATGTGAGAGTTGAGAATATTCTGCAGAATGAACTTGGCATGAGGGCAGTTTCTGTTCAGTGGGTTCTACATTATCTAACACCTGATCAAAAGCACCAGACTGATCACATCATGGGAAAATCTTTCATTGTTTTAGGCAGCTGGTTTCCTTAAACTTTTCCTAATCCAGGATGATTGTTGGGTTCTTCAATTTGAGCCAATCCTCACCTGCTCCAAAGAAGACCAAGCTCATTTCATCTGCAGAGAATGTGATGAACTCAGTTTTTGGGGATGAAAAAGACATAGTGTTTATTGACTGTCTTCAAAAGAGCTACCCCATCAATGTAGAGTACTATTCCAACTTTCTGTGGTAGTTACAAAAGGCTGTCAGGATGAAACACCCAGGCAAAATGGGTCTGTTTCATCACAAGGCCTTGATTTCAATGACTGCTATGCATGACTCTGGCTTTGAACTGGTTGATCACCCTCCCTATTCTCCTGATTTGACCATCCTTTGTTCCTGAACATGAAAATCACTTGGCTGGGAAACAATATTGCAGGGATGATGTCATATCTGCTGTTGATGACTTTTTGATCAACAGGATGAACAGTCTTCTGTGAACAGTCAGATGCCAGTTTACCTGAAAAGAAACAATGCAGTTATTAATATGAAGAGTTGAAATTAATGCATGCAAGATTTCACAGCTCTAGCAAACTCCTTCATAGTCAGCCTATGAACTTTTCAGCCCAGCCTTGTACTATTGAATAAAAACAGCATTACTTGCAACAATAAAATCTTGGGGTTCAGCATGTTTTTAATTTAAAGTATCATTGCTAACAACCCAGTGTGTCCTCAACAATATATGTTAAACTGATACTGAAAAATAATCTTTTATGTAAATTTCTCAGCATAAATATTCATCCTTTTTGATTATCCACAGATCTTGTAGCTATGTACCAATCAATAAATTAATCAATTTAGTACTTGAAAATACCATCAATTAAGTAGTTAAGTAACTGAAAAATATCTTCATATCATGTGATTATTGACATGAATCAGGGTTAAAAGAGAAAAGAAGCCAAGAAATATTGATTAGAGATTAAACTTTAAAAAATGAGTCTTCACTCTGCAATCTTTCACAAATCTTCTGTTGTCTTTTTTTCTCGGTTACCTTACATTTATAGATTACAGACACTTTCAAAATTTGTTGAAACTGACATTTGTTCACTTCTAAGCTTATGGGTTTTTAATGATACAAACCTAAAATAGTTATCCTAATTTATATAGTAAACAAGATATTCATGTATAACATAATATCATCAGCATTATTTATGGATTATTTTATACTAACATCCTTATTTTTGTTGAAGAGAACACTTGATTATGGGCCTATTGGAATTATTTTGAACATTCATTAATTCTATAAACTTATCTATTTAAATAACTAACCAAATATACTTCTTTTTAAACTGGTTTGATTGATAATTTCCTGTTTTGTTTATATTCTTTGTGTTTGGCTTTTATTATTATTGCATTGGTGCATTATTTTTAATAGGAATTAAATCTGTTATTTCTTGTTCTGTCTATAGTTGTTCACACATTTTCTGTAGTTTTGAGACTACAAAAGACCACTACCATCTTCTCCTAATCAATTTTTACCATAATAGACAAATTTTCTTGCTTGATATATATCTCAAACGGTGCTCACTTATCTCTTCATCATCATTGGTATGCTGATATACATACATTTGGACAGAAACACCAGCTACATGCCACCCAAAATGAAAAGATTCCTACATTATCATGTAATTTCCATAAGCCAGACCACTCTATATAATTCTCAAGGTGACGTACAGTTATATGTAATGGTACAACATTGAAAGCAATAACCCCAGTATGCAAAAGCATTTACAATGCAATGGATGCATATTCTGCAAGATGCTTTACTTCCTGTATACACTCTACTTTCAAAAGAAACTAATGCTATCCTCATGAGTGGTTATTTATTATTCACATCATTTTGTGAAAGGCGGTTTTATTTCAACATGGCTGTTCATATCTGGAACAGTTCTGAAACATCACATAAAACAATCAATGTATGGAAAAGGCAGAATTTATTGAAGCTAATCTGCATTATGTGCACAGTCATCTTCAGAATAGCAAGGAATCTTGAACCTGCTGGTTATGTACAAAAGAGCCTTTTGAAATGCATAATCTTACCTCCTCAAAACTTACATATATCAGATCTCAATGAAAATACAGCACAGGACAAATTGAGACCTATTACACCAGTAGATGAAACCTCAGTTCCTTGTATATGAAATTCTTATTGTCTTAATAACCAGGCCTCTTTTCACCAATCTGAACAAGTGTGCAAGTTCACTTGGCATTTTATCTTAAAAATATTTTTCATAATTCAATTCCATATTTACTTAACAAAATCTTCTGAAATAGTTTTGCTTGTTATCAGATAAAATTCTTACTACTAGCAGAGAAGATTGTAGTAAACTTGTTTCCCCACTTTTGTTTGTATAAAGAACTCAGTTTCTCCTTAAATACATTATACTACTATTACTGTATGTACTCTGTCTTTGTAGAATAAAACCTAAATTTGTTTTTATCACAGTCTTGTGCTACTTCATTACTACTACTAAATTGGTTAAATATACTTATATTGGGTTTTACAGTTACCAAAAATCCTTAATTCTTGAGTTCAGTTAATGTTGCTTACCAAATATTTTACATGAAAGTTAATTGGTTTGTTTGGGTACATTTGATCAGTTTCTTTCTTTTTTAGAAACGATGATAAATTGACTGTTTGCAACTGACAATTGATAAGCTTTCATTCTTTCTAAATTCATTTAATAAAAAATCTCTATTAACCACACACAAAATTATAAATTTAAATACATGTAAAAGATTTGTTGATACATTTTATATATTAATGAAGGATGTTGTAAATACAAAAGAAATCTTTGCTTTAATTTAACTTGAAATGGGATATCAAAAAATTATAACAATTAGGGTTGGTGATTTTTTTTTTTTTTTTTTTTTTCTTGCAGATACATTGGATTATTTTCTGGACTTTTATTAGAAATCAACTAAAGTAATTGAGTAATATAATAAATATATAACATTCATTCCAGACAATTTCACAACTCATAGCATTGATTAGCTTGACATTCCTGCTGGCAAGGGTGATGTGTACACCAAAGCTTAACTTGTTTAAAGGTTGTCTGAATACTGGACTTTATTTTACAAAAGTGGAAGATGACTATATATTGTTTTGTCTAACAAGAGATTTATTTTCAGTTACTGGAAATGTAGATTCTCGAGAAAGAGTTTCTCGAGTTGAGGTGTCTGCCCCAATTGTGACACTGAGATCTCCAGAATTTGATCAAACAAAAAGAGAAAGAAGGAAGATGAGAGAGTCTACTAATTGGATGATAAGTGTTGAAATTGCAGGAAGATGAACTGAGAAGAAAATTAAAAAAACAATGAAATGCATTGAAAAATCATGTTTTGAGATCATTCCAA